AAATCAGATGCAGAGGAAAGAGACAATCACCTGTGAAATCAACACAGAAAACCAGAGAACAGAATTTTGAAGCCAATGTGGTAATACAGGAATGGAAAGTAAATAGTGCAAAAATATTAAAAACAAAGAAGATATACTAAAATGAAAATAAATATGTGAAGAAAGGGTAAAAGAGAAGATGATTCTAGGGCAAAAAAAAAAATCAGATGCTACAGTGCTACTACATGAAAGATCGTAGCTAGAAAAAAAGGGAGGGGCAAAACAAGTAACTTTTGTAGAACAGAGGAAAGCCAAAAAAAATCATGAATAAAAGCCACACTATTACAGTGTATCATTATTGAGGAAAAAAAACTGTAAAATAAATGGAGAAACGTCAGCCTGTTTTGAGAAATAAAACAAGAGTGGTGACAATGTTGGTTGCAAAATGCACAGGGCTGATTCAAATGAAAATTCCAATTGTTAACTGGAACTAGCGGAACTGAAGAAAATAAGATGAGCAAAGAAAATAAATTCTATCATGGTCTAAGAAGTCAGTTGTACAAATGGAGAACTGAAAACTAACTTTGAGACTGATCAAACTGATCATCGCCATCTTGAACACTGATAAACTGGAAACCATCTGAGGACTGAGTAATAGCAGAAAGGAACAAACTGCTTAGCAGTACTCAGAGGAATTTTGAAGCATGCAGAAATCTGAAAGAATATTAAGTTTGAAAGATTATATATAACTTCAGTAAGGAGAAATATTAAAACAGATATATAAACACAATAAAAATAGTCTTTGATGAAGCACTATAAACCAGAAATTGACCCTATGAAGTACTGAAGAATTTGAGATACCACCAAGTAAGTAATTGTCTATAAATGGTAGAGTCAAATATGAAGGATTTGGATAGGTAGTAGCTAGTGAAAATAGTAGGAGTTTTGTAAGAGAATCAGATGCAATGATAGTAGAATGGGATTTGTGCTGGATTTGTGCTGCTAGAAAACTTAAAGAATCGAAACACAAATAAAAAACTACAAACATCTTTTATTTCTAACATGAACCAGCCAAGAAAGGCAGAGGAGAAGGTTGCACAGTTTGCATGGAAGCTTGCACATGGGAGGACTCCTCCAAGGAGGTAACGTGGCCAATAGCCCAACTGAAGAACCTCTACACCAAAGAATGCAGCATGGGAAATACACCGCAGCTGGAAACCACAGTGTAGTTACATAACTATAATGCCCTCAGCACAGAAACACATAAACTGTTGGAGTGGGACACAAGACGTAATGAAGACATGGAGATGTTGGAGTGGGCCCTGAGGAGGGCCATGCAGATGATCAGAGGGATGAAGCAGCTCTGCAATCAAGAAAGATTGAGGAAGCTGGGCTTCTTTGGCTTGGAAAAGAAAAGGCCTCATTGCACCCTTCCTGTAGATGAAGGGAGCAGGAGGAAGATCAATTTTTTACGTAGTCCAATCATGTCAGGACAAGGCACAATGGCTTTAAACTAAAAGAGAGGAGATTTAGGTTAGACATTATGCAGAAATTCTTTATTCAAAGGGTGGTGAGGCACTGAAACAGGTCACTCAGAACAGCTGTTGGACCTACAGGTGTTCAAGGCCAGGCTGGATGGGGCCCTTGGGCAGTCTGATCTAGTGGCTGACAACCTTACCAACAGCAGTGGGATTGGAACTAGATGAGCTTTAAGGTCTCTTCCAACCTAAGCCATACTATGGTTTTCCGTGATTCTATGGTTATGGATATGTAGTGTAAATTTGAATACCGACGAGCCAAAAGAAGAACTACACGAATGACACGTGTCAAGTCAGTAAGAAAATACACTATTCTGTGAAAAAAAGATGGGAAGCAAAGAGCAGCTTACAACTATGAGATAAGCAGTCCTTCCAAGCAGGAAATATGCAAAGTAAAATGGATACAACAGTTAAAAAGTCATATAAACATCTTCCTAACATTCCCAATACGAGTGATTAAGTTACATTACAATTACTACAAACTGTTAAAAATCCATTTATTTTATAAACACAGAATAAGACATTGAGATATTAATATAAATTAACTTCCACGCTTTCAATTCACAGATTCAATGAGATTTGAAAACCTAAGGTACAGGGAGTTAGAACAGTCCCTTGTCAAATGTATTAGTAAAATGCATTTTGTCCACATTATAACTGATTCACATATGCATGTGTTTTGCAGCAATAACAATATGAATCTAAAGTCTTGTAACAGAAATGAATAATCATAACTGAAATTACTGGCAATGTAGAAATTAAGCAGAGTTCTCCATGCTGTTTTGGCAGGTCTGACCAACCCTGACTATCAACTTCTTGTGTTTCACTGAATGTTACTTGGCCATGTCATAGCGAAAACTTCAGTTTCCATGGAATATGCTTGACCTTTTGAAAGAGAGGAAGACTACTTGTACATCAACGTGCACTTCTTATTATTCCTCTATCCGTAGGCTCTGTTTACATGCAAGACCAGTGCACTCAGACTTAATTGTTTCTATTCCCTTCCAACCTACACATTTCTGGTGGAAGCTGCAGACAATGTAAGAATCAAAGCAGAACTTCAAAAGAAGCAAATGGAAGGCTTTAACCAGTAGGCATACATTTATGATTTTTCTTCCTCACTCAAAATAACAAAGTGTACATCCATGTCGGGCAAGGGTGATTAAGGAGCTTAAATAGCAACTAACAAGTTACTTACAAAGCATGGATGTTATGTAGAGGGAAAAAAAAAAAAAGAAAAAAACCTGTTTAGCTTAATATGCCATAGACAGCAGCAGTTCAGCTCATATTTTGACTTTTTAAGAGTCCTGTTAGCAAAGGAATCAGTACAGCCCTCCTCATTCACTGTAAACACTGAGAAGTTTCTACCTATATCTGCAGATGCATACTCCTAGCACACACCACAGCAGGGAAAGAAGCCTGACAGGATGCTAACAAGTACAAAACTACATTGAAACAACATTTTTGCCAGATATTCCAGCAACTAGTGCTGCTTAAAAGTAAGGAATATAGAATAAAACAATGAAAAGTTGAATAGAGAGCTAAGAAAAACAAAAGAACTGCAGAAATGGCATGTTGTAAAAATGGAATATGCTTCCCAGGATGAAGAGAATAAAATTCTATGAGGACAGGCTGAGAACTGGGGCTGTTCAACAGGGAGAAGGCTCCAGGGAGATGTTATAGTGGCCTTTCAGTATCTAAAGGGAAAGTTATAAGAAAGAACAAGACTGATTCTTTAGCAGCATCTGCCACGATAGAACTAGGGGAAATGGTTTCAAACTACAAGAGAGGAGATTTGGATTGGATTTAAGGAAGAAGTGGATGCCCCGTCCTTGGAGACGGTCAGGTTGGACTGGGTTCTGAGCACCTGATGGAGCTGTGGCTGCTCATTGCTGGGGAGTTGGACTGGGTATCTTTAATCCGACATCATCAATTCTGTGATTCTAAGCACTCAATGAATGAGCATTCCAAATTTCTGCAGTCTCACACTCACAAAGCAGGCATGCTGCAGATTCTTCCTAATGGTTTACAGCCTTGAAGTACTGTAGATTAAATCTGCAAAATGCAAATTAATCTCAAGAAAACTTATTTCAATCACCATCTTTATAATGTCTTGTGGCAGAAAGCATCCTTCTCACAGGGACAATATAATTCTGAATCTATTTAAACTATCCGGTGGTTGAGATGTTCACAAGTGATTCTGACCTAAATAGGATCCTTTATGTCAGGGAAATCTCAGTATTCAAGCCTGAAGAAGCTTTAAAACTGTAATCATCACTTCTAAAAAAAATTCTAAGTATATTCACTAGAAACAAGACTGCATTGATGGTGTTCCACTCTGCACACAACAGTATGAAAAGCTGCTTCATTTTCAGGTTTAATGGGAAGAGAGAACAATCTCCCTGTGGCCTGGAACTTCTTAGATAATTATTATTGTTATTATCATGGAAGACTAATAGAAAATTAATATATTTCTAACGTACTTTACTTACTATACGGGCAGCACAAAGGCATGGGAGCAGCATTCTGAATCACCTTCTGATGTTTTTGTTCAGTGAACTCTACAAGAAGTTTTCTCCAAAGATTAAACTCCATTTTAGAATTAATTTCCTTCATCAGTATTCATGATTTTTGTTTGCATTTATTAAAATGTACGTAGTAAAATGTCATTAGCATTTGTTCCAAGAACTGGTTTCTAAGATTTAGCTCCATCTAATGAAGATGAAAGACATTACCTAGGAGACCAATATTGTCCAAAATCTCAGAGTACTAAAAAGAAAAAAGAAAAAAAAAAAAAAAAAAAAAAGATCTGAGAGCTATGATTTCATGCAATTAATTATAAGAGAAAAGGAAAAGCATTTGAAGAAAATACATTCTCTAAGAAGCTTTCACCTCTGGGCTGCCTTCTTAAATACAGTGTCACACACATTAGTACAAAATGTTACTTGTATTTGAATGACATCAAGTGGTTTGTCAAACAAAGTAAATATGGAAAGAAACACAAGTAACAGGTCAGAAATTAATTGCAAAAAGATTTCTAAGAGTAGCAGAGTGTAGGCTTGAACCAGGAGCACCATAGCTGAAGGAAGTGACCTGACAAACTCAGTGCACTGTAGTTTACTGAAAGAGCAAGGAAAGAAGAAGCCATCTTACTACTTGAAATACTGGTGACATGGTACACATAAAGAGAAAACTGAAAAAGGAAGGAAAGTAGCCCATTATGAGAGAGAAAGTGTTGCACTACCGAATCTTGACAAATACTGAGACAGTAAAAGCTACAAAGTAGAGGAAGATATATGAAATGTTTCAGGCCATCACACCAAATTTTACTGGCTTATTTTACTGGGAATCAAAGTCACCAAAAGTGAATGTATAGACTAGAAACAAAAATTAAGAACACTGCTTGCTATTAATAAAGATACTGGAAGAAATACCTTCGTAATTTAAAGCAACCCAGAAAAATGCATAAGCAGTCCTGCTCACCTGTCTTCACTAAAACGCCGACCAACCAAAATTTTACATTTGTCTGGAGGGAGACAAGCTGTTAGCAAAGGCACTGTCCTTAAAACCCGACTTTCCTGTAAAAAAGAAAAGTCACTTTTGAGTAAAATCAAGGAGGGCTTCTGTGAACTGTTAATATTGCCATCTACTTTCAAGATCTTTGACTACACACAGAGAACAACCAACAGTAAAGTAACACACACACACACACAAATCAGTTTCATACATATTGCTTTTACCAAGAGCAAGGAATTTAATTTTGTCCTAACTATGACCATTAGCAAGAGTTTGGGCTAGGTTATCAGTACAAAAAAAAAAAAAAAAACAACCATACATGGAATAATAACAAAATGTAGGCAAAAAACAGCATTAACATCAAAGTAACAGGTTGGAGCATTAATTTCTCTGCACTGGAAAACAAGGGGAGGGCTTCGTTTTCACAGACAAACGCAAAAAAAGATGAGCAATGGGTGTGTCAAAATGGTGTAAAACAAATACCTCCACTCTGTTACCAGTTCACAATAGCATAGTAGCACAACACTGAAGCTGCTGTGAGTGCTCTACCTCCTGCCATTCGGGCTGTGCAGAGCAGGCATCTGCCTACATCTTTGTTGCAGATAAGAAGAAGATTGCCATGGCTGGGAGGGGAGCAGAGGCTCTCCAGATCTCAAAGAGCATGCAAGAGAGCTGTGCTGGACTAAGGAATGCCTGCTTCACAAGACAGAGGGAAGAGGGAAGAACTGACAGGTGGACCAAACCATCCACATACTAAACAGAGAAATTTGTTTTCATACACAATGTAACTCATTGTTATCTAGACAAGAAGCATTGCAGATTGAGCTAGAATTTTTAGGACATCTTCAGTAAATGTTAAGAGTAGAGAGAATGTGTCAATTTGTGTTTCCTGGCAAAGAAGAGGGAACAAAGGTTTATCTTGAATTTAATGGAAGCAACACTGAAAACTGGAAGATGAAAATAAGTTTCAGGGGTTTTTTTTTGTAACAAGAGAAATAAAGATGCACATTAGCTGAACCTAGCAGAAGTCTAGACACTAGAGTCTGCATTAGGATTACAAAAACCCAAAACACTTAATGTATTCTCAATTTCAATGTCTTACAATTCAGCCACTGAAAATCCAAAGTTCAGTCCCTAAGCCATGCGATTAATTAATAAAAAGCTGGGGAGTTGATCCATTTATATATATATATGAGTCATATGTCAACAGTTCAGTATTTGCAAACAAGTAATAGCCCTGACTAGTTCAGCTCATGATTTCTGTGGCTCTTACTCTCCACAAGTACCAACGTGCAACCACCTATAGCCCTTACATCATCAAAATGCTCTCAAATTAGTTCTGTGAATCTTTACATCACTGTTGCTTAAAACCTTCACTAATTTTGCTTCTTCTGCTCCATACCTACTGATTCTGTGAAGTACAAATAAACCACCACAGAGTTACAGGAGTAAGTTGTCTTACTATAAGCACCACCACTTTGCACTGCTGCAGCAGTATGATGTGTCCTAGGGACAGATGAAGATCAAAGTATCTGGTGAATGAAGTGCAAGAAAAGTGGTTGAGAAATATCCTTCAAACTACCATCGATTACTATCTTGACAAAGCTGAATAAGTCACCATTGGCAGTACAAGAACACAAACACCCTGATTCATACAAATGTTAAAAGCAGCAAGAAAGAACTGGAAGAAAATTAATTCTTTATTTCTAAAAAGCAAACATTTTAGAAGCTTATCAGTCATGGGAAAGCCATTCAATCATTCTCTTCAATGTTGTGTTGTTTCAGAATTACCTTTCACCAAATAAATGCATTCTCTTACCAACAGGGAAAAAGTTGCAGATTTCTAATCTAAAAACCAATCTATGTTTACAAGAAGATATAATACAGAAGTCAAAACTGGAAAGAATTGTTAGCGAAAAGGAGCTTAAGAACAGCTAAACAAAACTACCTCTAAAATACGTTCCATTTGTTTAGAATTCACATCACAAAAATGCCTGTATTTAGCTATTTCATATACAGCCTGTTAGCATATCAGCTATTTTCTATTTTCTGCTTTGAAAGAGAATAGTTATTGTCTCCTTTGTTCTTCTCAGCATCATAAATTTAATGCACAATTCTTTGCCTAATCATTATTTAACAACTGAAGTATATCTATACAAATAGGTTTGAAGAAGTTGCTTTTAGATTGCTTTTTTTCCTTTTATGGGAATTCATGAAATTTTTTGGTAACACCGCAGGGTCGTTCTACCATGAAATTTTAACTAATAAAAACATTTATTCGAAGCAGTTAATACACTTCATTTTCTCCTGAACTTGTAAAACAATTAGCAAATTGTATTTTATTCTTACCATTCAATAAAGAATGTTATTAGATTCATATACAAGCTCACTAAATACACGTTTTCTTCACAGGTGCAGAAAAATGAAAATTCTTACAATTCTGGAAAGAAAGAAGGCAGAGAAACAGAACAACCTAAGCAGTAGTCTAAGGGCCCTGTTATAACCACCACCCAAGCTCCAGAAAGTATTCAGTGGCCTCTGCTCCACTGCAGATCACTCCATGGACAATAAGGCAGAGGTAAGAAAAAGCTGCACAGCAGTTTGTACACACCTGACCATGCCACTGACCGTCAGGACTGCAAATGAAGGCATGGGAGAGAAAAAAGATGAGAAAAGCAGTTTACCTATTTGTATTTATTATATTCACGTGTATGTGGAAAGAAGAAAATAGCAGAAATCATACTAGGCAAATATGCTCTTCACTGCTCCACTATTCCTGCTGAGAGGGTTAGGATCCCTGGTTTGTATCTATTTTATTTTTGAATTACTCTCATTATTAACAGTAGTGCACTAACACTATTCCAAAAACATTTGCATCTAGACATGCAACGCTGAATTATCTTCACAAATCAAATTTGAATTAATCTATGGATCTATTATGCAAAGATGAATGCTGGATGGTAAGATTCATAACCTGGGATCTTAGGGAATCCTTGCTGCCACATTAGGAGACTAATGTGTTATAAGTTACAATCCTTGCTCCTTGCATTAGGAGACTACTCTCTTTCACAGCACCTAACATTTGTGTGAATGTATCCAACAGCATGCCTTCTGGATTGAAGGACAGTGGAGGAGCAGGAAATCCTGCTCTCACTTTCATGCTTTACCCTCCTGCCCAAATATAAGTCACAATGCAATAATCACTCCACAGTTGGTGGTCTACTTACTGCACTGGAAACTGCAAAACCCAATAAATAACAAAACAGGTGGAGGATGAAAGTCATCACTGATGCACAGCAGGAGAAATACATTCTCTGTTTGGTTAGTTTAATGATACTTCTGAAACGTGCTTCTATAATGGCATGGCAGCCTGAAGGATCAGATGCTGTTACTACATTCAAAAGGTTTATCTGCCTCGAAGTCTGACTGAGTTTTGATTAGAAGCAGCTACAGCACAAGGAAGCTACCCTTTAGCAAGTATGCCTCTGCCATTCTCATATCAAAAGAATCACTTGTGATCAAATAAAGTCATCATAAGCCATTTTCTTAGCTTTTCAGCTTTTGTTTGGATTTGCCTCCTACAAGCCAAGTTCCCTTCTACAGCCAGGTAGTTAATCTTTTCTGCTCTGATGTCTTCACTATTTGGATAGTACTGCTCTAACCACTTGTTTCCATGAACATATACCTGTGCAACAGTTGCACCCTATCATAACAGAAAGCTGCTAATTAAACCTAACTAAAGAAAGATAGCATGTCAGATGGATGATCAGGAGGTCTAGAAAGACCATGTAAACTTGTTCTAGTACTTTTCAGCACAATACATTCAACACAATTCAAATATCAGTTCATGGCTCTCTGGTACATTTTGCTACTTCTTTTTTTCCAAAACTTGTGATCCAGCACAATACTGCATTATTAACAGAAAATAAACATCAGTATAAACGCCTCTAATAGCTAAATCAAAAATCAAGAGCCCATTAAACCCCTGAAGGCATGAAATGGGCAAAATCATAAAAGGATGCATTGTATATAAAGTCCAGTCCAGGACACACTTTAAAGCTACTCAGAGTCTCTGAAAAGCAAAAGTACCTTTACCAGGAAACAATGCAAACTGCAAAGAAAGCTGTTCCTTCAGTAGCTCTTTCATGTGCTTCACTTCAGTAAGTGAAACAAAACAAAACAAAACAAAAACAAAAAATCACAGAAACAGATTATTTTGAAACTAAACTATAGATTTCCATTATCTAAATACTTCGAGTCACTACCAAGATGCATTGCTTAATTCATATTTGTAAGAGAATAATTCTGTGTTGTATCAAGATTCCCTCCTGAAACAGTTTGTGCCACACCAAGCAGACCTCCAAATTTAATGGGATTATCCAAATGAAGAAAGATGTCTTGTGTATGTGAAAACCACAGAAGTCAAGCATGTTTTCAGAAGTCACCGTAATTGGGATGAACTGGTACCTCAGCTCTCTGATTTTAAAGGAAAAATTACTGTGTTAAAAACGTGATTGCTTCCTCTTGTAGACCATTTGCTGCGCTAAGATAGTAGCTGAACTCTTGCATCTTTACTCACCTCTGCAGGATGCTGAATTATATACAAGCAGGTGGAGATTTTCAGTGGATGTATCGGCAGGAATGGACACAAACACACCTTCTGAGGGCGGCTACACGACAGAACAGAGGGGAAAACAATAAAATTAATCAGCAGTGACATAAATATATTGCACCAACCCTTACCCTGCCCCAAAAGGGCCACTAAGGACTCCCTCCTCATGAAACAGTACGTTGAAACATGATAAAAAATTCTGAGATCTCTGCTGCTTTTAAAACAGAAAGAAAAGAAGGTTTTTTTCAAACTGAATTTTGAAAACGTTGTTCAGACATCTTCTGTGGTCTGGTTAGCATTAAAGCACTTTCATAACCCTTTCATCACCTTCAGGAGGAGCAACCATACCCCAATTATATGAACTTGTTACTGCATTTTATACCAAGTTACTGTTTCAAGTTAGACAGAATGCTGTAACAGAGTACATAATTAATACAGTTGAAGGACTATTCATAGTATAATATAATATTTTAGGGTATACTCACAACAAACCCCAAATACGCTGTATATCAAGTTTTTATCATTTCATTCTTTCTGAAACACACAGCAGACAAGAAGTATGAAAACAAACAGCACCATGCATTTCAAGTTGAAGTCTAATTGAAGTCTGAAAAACTAGCACAACTATTTGATGTTTTTTGGTGCATTGCATGCATCGTTAAAATTTTTAACGGGAGAATCGTATTCAAATAAATTAGCCTACATATATTTGGCATTAAACTAATATGCTGAATAGTCAGGAATAAACAGAAGCGAAGAATTAAGCTTAAAGCTGCACAGAATCACTGAAGTTGTTACAGCATACACAGAGCAATTACTGGAAAAACAATGGACTTCCTTAACGCTGATATGATTATCATTACTCACAATTCACTTTGCCTGCAAAACAAACCCTCCAAGATGAAGAAAATAAAGTTGGGATTTTCAGCTGAATCCAAGCAACTCCAAGCACACCTCTACCTGCAGCCTCCTCCTGATTTTTGTCGTTAGCAGTTTTTGTGTTGATCACACACGAGACAACGTAAGAAGCCACTGCAGCAGATGTGCTGTGTTGAAGTTAATTCTCAGGTCCAGGTCAAGCCCATGGCCAGCCCCATTGACACTGCAATGCTTGCCCACAAGAGCACTCCACTAAGCAAGCTAAGTGATCTAAGCCAGCATAACTGTTCTTTACTCAGACCATCTTAAAATAAAACATTAGCTCTTACCTGTAAACGGCAACGCAGTAAAAAAGGCAATAACAGTGGATAAATTGGCCTTTAACAGCTAGCAGGTTGCATTAATTTAAGATCCCTGCCTCTTTCTAGCCCTAACTGCTGCCATAGAAAGATTACTTTCCCTTGCCAAGGGGAACCAGTTAAAAGTTATCTAACAATAGCCAAAATCTGAACTGAGCATGACGGAGGAGGGGAAGAAATTGCTATTGATCAAAGAAATTATATTAAAATATTTATACTAAAAAGTTCATGAACAAAAAAAAAAAAAAAATGACAAAATGGAATTATTCCCATATGCTCTTCCAATACAATGCTCCAAAAACCTGCCTTCTTTCTTTCCATTCCATTTCTAGAACTGGCATTTTCCTCTTGACACGCCTCCATATATGAGGAACATTCTGGGGTATCAGTTAATTACTAAAGGCATTGAAACAAAAATGAAGAGCTCACCAACTTCAGCATTCAGTGGGGTCTAGCAATGGCCTTCACTCTGAGCCACAGGAAACCAACCCGGCTTCCAGATCTGACGAGATCAGAGGATCTCCAATACTGTGACAGTGCCTTTCTTCCAAATTTTAATCTTCTCATGTAGATAATTTAAACAAACACATCTGCAAACAGTTTCTTAACAACCTGGAGGCAGCAGACACTCCCACGGGCTTTTTGATGCCTGCACCCAGGGCGCTAAATAAAAGCTCATCCTCTTTTGATCAACATATTTACTCGTTTCCCACAAAGTGAGATCCCTTAGCTTCTCCTCATTACTGAAACGAAACCACCCCATGCCTGGTTCCATTAGCAAAAGAATTCTCCCCACGACTGTATTTTCTTTTGAGGAGAGATTAGGATGTGAAAATCTACTACATAAAGGTACCAAAATAGTCAACTGGCAACTCTGATACAAAGAGCTGCATTGTTCCCTAGCTTTTATTAGCAGGCAGAAACAGTTTCTGATGGTTTCTGACCTCAGGGCATTTACTATTACAAAGTTGGACAGATATAATTTACTTGTTTTCAAGTCTCCAAGTTTCCCTTTTTCTGGTGTATGTTCTTTGTATTTTCCGTGGCTGGCTCATGTTCTTCATGGGTTGTTTTTTAGCATTATTAATGTTGTAAAAAAGGTTCTAAATCATCACAGAATGAACTATACTTTGATTTGTAGGGAACAGAGCACACACAATTACAAACAGAATACTTTCCAATATAACTTAATGGCATACATGTGCATATACATTACTTTTAAGTACTCAATTAGGCGCCCAATTATGTTGAATGTAGGGTACTTTTACAACCCCATCCTAGGAGCACAAAGACTTATTTCTGTACTCTCACCTTGGCATGTAATGGTTATTGTGCCGAGACAAAAAAAATAAAAAATACAACACGCACTTTATCCCTACACGAAATGTATGTTATGAGTTTATACCAGTAATCATTTAGGAAACAGTTCTGAACAGGAGAAGTCCCGTCCCACTACCACAAAAGCTGCCTTCACTCTCAGAAAGGCCACCCAGGCTGAAAAGGCTTTTTGTGCTTTTTTTCTGTTGAAAGCATGTGCTCTGTCGTGTGCAATGTATGGCACTGATGTTACAGAAGAGCAGGGGCAGAGCACCAGGAGACTCAGTTAATGACAACTATAAGTTTTCATCCATTTCTGGAAATGAAAGCAATCTGCACCAGACTCCAGGCAAAACAGCAGTATTGAGAATATTATAGAAAAGCCCAGGGGTAGGAAGAGGAATTCGAAGGAGAACAATTTTTATGGTAATATTCACCTGTAAGCAATTTCACTATAGCTCAAAGCTGTCCAACATCTTTCTACCTGTTTTTCAGCATTTCCCGTTTAAAAACTCATGACAAAGCAACCAGACATACTGGCAGGACTCAAAAAATTATTCTCTGTCTTCATATACAACAAAAAATCATGCACTGTGCTCTCACTGCTTTCCTTTCATTCTTTACATCTAAATTATGATGTTCTGCTCCAAAATAATGTGGTCTGTTTTCCCAGCAAAAACTGAAACAAGACAACGGGCTGCACATTGTGATGACCAGTTTCTGGGCAGTGGTAGTCTAGAAGTGAATATCACAGAATCATAGCATCATTATGGTTGGGAAAGACTTCTAAGAACATCTAGTGCAATCATTAACCACCACTGCCCACAAATCAGTGTCACCAAACGTGTGCCTCATCTCCATGTTTCAGTGGCTTTCAACACGGTCTTCAAAGTCTTCTTCAAGGCTTACCTGAGGAGTAGCAAATATACAGCTGGTCTTCAGCTGTAATGTTGTTCATTACACTTGATTGATTAAGTGGTCACATGTTAAAAGTCAAGGTAACTGTGCATGCTGTTGACTTGTATCTGTAGTTGACAATTTGTGAAGGCAGTACTGAAAAATACCTTTGATTTAGGCTTTCCACAATTCAGTTTTAACACAATTCAGTACTTCAAGGAAGGTAAGTAGAAAGAAACCCTTCAATTACCACTAAGATGGTTGCTGTGAGTGGAGTGCCTGTGAGGTTTCTTATCTGGAGGATTACAGTACTTTGTTTTTGTTTTTATTTTTCAACGTTCTGCCTGTGGAACATCATTCCTGAATTCATAAGAAGAAATACTAAGGAAGAATTTACTGCAAGAGAAAAACATGAGGGTGAGAGCTGTCTTAGCACACGTCACACACAGACAACCAGCACAGAGTGTGCATCCATGATGTATCCTCATGCTTCCAGCAGTGAGTGCAGTGGTTCTCTTGGGACTAATCTTCATCTGTGCCAAGAATGCAAGGACAAATTCACAACAGCTACAGGTCTGCCAGTCCTCCTCTCCTTTCCCAGCCAGGACGGTGGGAGTTTGCACAGACTGAAACCCAAACATCTGCCATCTGGCACCTCTTTTAGGCTGCTTTCCCTTCCGCTGGCTCCACCAAAATTACAACACAGACGTAAACGCTGCTGATTGGAGTGAGGCTATGAAATACACTGCGAACAGAAACAAGAGGAAGATACAAGAGAAACAGAAAGCGTATCTTCCAACTGGCTAACTTTTGATTTCCACTCAATTGCTGAGTGGCCAAGCAACCATGCCTCTGCCACACACTGGGCTTCACCCAAGTGAAAAGGGTGGCAACTGAGACACAGGTGACAGGGCAGCAGGTTTCTACAGCTTACAGTGTTTGAAAAGCATAATGCAACAAAGACTGAGGACAGTGATGGTATCTCACATTTCTAGGTGATTATGTGAACTAATGAAAGCAAAAGCATTTACAGGATGGGGGAAGCAGAGACGCCTCTAGTGAGCTCTGTGAACAACAACTAGAAACAAAAGGATACCGAACGTGGGTAGGAGAGTTCACATTCCATTTTTGGAGGCTGAAAATGGGAGAGTTCAACTCCCAAAAGCAGAGACAAGCACATCTGGTCCAAGAGAAGAGGGACATAAATATGTTTGTTCCCATAGCTCAGTCGAGTGCAGGTAAATGGCATCTAGCCCTGGTGTTACTTTCCACTGCCAGGGGCCCTACTGCAATATCAGGGTCAACTCTTCACTAAAAAAGAAGGAAGAAGTACAATTTTTAAATGCCAGGGTTTCTTCTCTGTGATAACACTGTATAAATGCAGTGCCACGCTGGTACATGAAAAAGTCTGATCAATAAAAACACTTATCAAAGAGCTTCATGGACAGAGATTTTACCCTGTGCATATTATAAAAGTAAAAAGAAGTCAGATCATATGCCAGTTGAGTCTGGCAGTAGCAGTGCCACTCAAGCCAGATTTTTCAGCTTGGTGTCCTTAGGCAAGGAAATCAAACAGCAGGTACTTTGTGTTACAACCAGCTTCACT